CCCTGGCCCAGCCACAGTGGTGCAGGCAGTGGTGGTGGTGGTGGTGGTGGGGGGGTGTGTGCGCCACTGCAAAATACTGGAGTCATATGGCAAGGCCTGGGTTCAGTTTCCAGGTCAGCATGAGCAATCAGACATGCCTTTGAGTGCATCCATGGTCCATGGTCCTGGCTAGAAGGCTGGCTGTGAGGCTGTGTGTGTGTTGGGGCAGTGAGAAGGTTGTGGTAGGGTGAGGTCCTCATGGGTATCTTCTCTCTCTTTCTAAATAAACATTTAAAAAATTTTACTTGGCATTTACACAGCATAGCATATTGAAAAACATTAAAAATCTAGATGTTTTAGGTTTAGATTATCTTCTGCACTAGAAAAATCACTTACAATTTTCAAGGAAAAACACTTGATATTTATTTAACAACTGAGTTTTTTTTCATTAACATTTTTGTAATTGATATGAAATCTGACTTATTTTGATACGAATTTGGATGTATTCATCATAGTTCTTGAAATAAAATGTAGCAGAAGCATAATGTTAGATTTTTTTTTCCTGCTTGGAGTGGCATGGTTTTTCTTTGTACACATTTATACATACCTAATTCTTCTTTCTAGAAGAGAGTGTGTTTTATGTGTGTGTACTTTTGTAAAAACATTTTACATGTACTGAATACATCTTATATCAGATACTATGCTTGCTTCTTGATTTTTATTTTTTTAAAGATTGAGCAATTTTATGTTTATGCCAAAAGATACAGGACTATCTCAAAGGGCTATATTCTTAAAAGAGATTGCCTAATTTACTTGTTTCTGAGATTGTGTGTGTTTCACATAGAAATTTGCTCACTTATTATTTGAACATCAATAAGTGTCATCCTTAGAATGTCTGTAGTTGTTACCTTGGTTATGTTAGGTATTTTTCTAGCAGTACAACTAAAAGAATCATATTTCCTCAAAGAAGTGGCATAATCTAATTTTTTAAGAGAGATTTTTGCTATTGAGCGTGTGTGCTCGCTAGCTCTGGCAAACACATCACCTGTGGAAAATAAATAAATGAATGGAAGAAACAACCTATATAAATGTATATGTTTATAAAATCGCATATTTTAAATCTATAAATGTTCCTTCAATGTGCCTTCTAATGTTGTGTATAAGTCATATGAGTTTCTGGAAATATTAGGACTGCATAAACCTGTTTTTTAATTTTATCTACTAAGATGGTACATGTAATAATGCTTAGCAACTATGAAAGTAGACCATGGTAAAAATGCCCAGTAATGGGCATTATCATGGTTTTATTATCATGGTAAGGGTTATTATCATGTTGTCATTCTCTCAGTGGACAAAATATTCATTACAAGTTAATTTTAGAATGCATTCATTATTATAAATCGTGTTCATTTTGGGTGAAAGCGTAATCTTTTTCTTTTCTTGGCAGCAACTTGAATTGGTGGAACCAAGTGGTTGGATTCACGTTCCCTTAACTGATAATCATAAGAAGCCAACTCGTACTTTCATGATACAGATTGCTGTTCTAGCCAATCACCAGAATGGAAGAGACACCCACATGAGACAGATTAAAATATACACACCAGTGGAAGAGAGCTCCATTGGTAAATTTCCTAGATGTACAACTATTGATTTCATGATGTATCGTTCAATAAGGTGACTTTAACACAGAACAGAAATCATTAAACATATCTTTGTTTTATCTTGTCATTAAATATTACATTTGATATTTTTACTTTAAAAAAGTTTCATTTGTTTTGCAAGTTTGTATACATTTAAAAGTATTTTATTGTAACTTTGATAAATAAATCAACTTGGAGCCATTGTATCTCTATTTTCTTTAACATGTATTAATACTCACACTACTAAAAATGGATTTGGAACCAATCATTATGTTTTTCTTTATATCAAAAGAAAACCAGTTGAACTGAAACTTTCAATTGTTTATTAACCAAGAGATTATATCATATAATGATCATCTACTATGATTATTGTATATTTGGAACTCAACTGTTTTGTCAATATATGTCATCTTTAATATGTTGAAATTATTTTTTTTCCTGCCCAGAAGAAGTTTATTCTTTTAATACTGGATCTTTTTAAAAAACACTGTCAAAATAAGCTTATCATGAGGTGTCTGATGTGACCCAGTCTAATTTGGGGAATGTAGTTGTCTCATGTTGTCTTCCACGCAGTACTTATAACCCTAGGGTTATCTATATCCTGATGATATTATGTTACAGATTGTTAACATAATCTGTATTTATCTCAATTCTGGTGATACTTCTAGAAAAATTAGGTTCAAATTTGTGTTTGACACTATAGCATTCCCTGGGGGATAAACCTATGCAATTTTTTTTTTTTAAATAAGTATTCTTGGGATCTGTAGATGGTATAATGGTTACATCACTGGACTCCCACCTAGTCAACTGGTTCAAGTCCTGGACCCACAGGTGCATGTGTGTGTGTGCCCAAGATCCCGAGAGGAGAATGGAGGAGAAGAGATTACAGCATAGCCATTCCCTCTGGGGAGTGATTTCTCATGTTCTGTCTCTCTGTCTCCTATAGTAAAAATAAATATTTTTTATATATGAGAATATTTTAACACATAAAAATGTGTTTCTGTTTAAAATGAGATTTGGGGCCAGCAGATGGCATGAAGGTTAAGGCACTAGATCCCACATGGTTAACTACAGGTTTCAGTCTCAAACCTGGTAGCCTAAAAATCATGTGGGGTGCTCATGTGTGTACATGTTCAAAATCCTGAGAAGAGAGTGGAGGAGAAAGGAATGAAGCATGGTTATCCCCCAAGGGGAGTGATTTCTCACTCCACCCCTTCCCCACCTCCCATGTGTCTCTGGCAAATGCTGTACTCTGTAGCAAAAACTAGAGGAGGGGTAAGGGTTGCTGTACTCTGTAGCAAAAACTGGAGGAGGGGTTGGGGGGGGAATGAAAAAGAAACAGAGATTTGGACCAGCCTGGAGCCTGGCGGTTAGGCTGGCTGGATCCCACATGGCCAACTACATGTATTGAGTCCTGGATCCGGAGGAACATTCTGGGCATATGTATGTGTATATCCAAAATCTCAAAAGGATGAAGAAATGGAGAAGGAATTACATCATGACCATATCCTATGGGAGGCACTTTCTTGCTTTTCCTGTAACTCTCTGTCTCCAGCAAGCACACATTCCCTCTGGAATATTTAAAAAGTAAAAAAAAAAAAAAAAAATAAAGAGTCAATTTTGAATGGCCCTGTAGCCAAGTAGTTAAGGGAACTGTATCCCACATGGCTGACCATAGTTCAAGTCCCAACTCGAACATGCACCCAGCATTATTTTTATAAGCTACCAGGGCTGGGATTCAAACTGCGGTTAGCCATATGGGATCTGACTCCACAGTCACTGACCTACAGGACCAGCCTTCTTTTAACTTTTAAAAAAGCAAATATTTTTAGTGCGGTTAGCCATATGGGATCTGACTCCACAGCCACTGACCTCCAGGGCCAGCCTTCTTTTAACTTTTAAAAAGGCAAATATTTTTATCAAAGTGTTGTATGTAGAATATATAAAGAACTCTTACAACTCAAACAGTAAGAAGAAAATCAATCCAATTAAAAAATAAGCCAAAGACTTAGTCATTTTGCCAAGGTACATACGTGATTGGCCAAGAAGCCTGTGAAAAGATGCTCACTTTTATAAGACAGTGGTGAAACACAAAAACATATAATGAGATACCACTACACAGCCACGAGAGTAACAGTAATTTAAAATTTTTTTCCAGGGTCTGGAGAGTGGGGCAGTTGTGAAACAATGTTCTGCAAGGCTGACCCACTTTGGAAACTTCTGGGTTCACAACCAGAGACCTCCCTGAGTAAGCCAGGCATGCCCACGATTGAGGGCTGGCTGAAGGGTGGATTATGGTGTCAAGACCCTGTTGGAGGTTTTGGGACCAGCAGTTTGCGTAGTGGCTATGTTACTGCACTCCCATGTAGTTGTCTGTGGTTCGCGTCCCAGACCTGGTGGCTTAAAACTTCGCGCCAGGCACGTGTGCATGCGTACGTGCCCAAGATCCTGAGAAGAGAACAGAGGAGAAGGGATTGCGGCATGGCCATCCCCCAGGATTGGGGGGGGGCGGTGATTTCTTCTCTCTGTCTGGTGAGGGCACGTGCCCTATAGCAAAAAAACAAACAAACAAACAAAAACTCCTCAAAAAAAAAAAAAAAAAAAAGACCCTGTTGGAAGTTTTCACTCTCTTCCTGTCTCTCCTTCTCTCTGTGTGTGTCTCTTGCTCACAGAAGAAATAAACTAAAGAAAAAAAGCCTGATTCTGAATATTGGTAAAAATGTAGAGAACCTAGACCTCACACTGTTGGGTGCCAAAGTAATGAATGTATCATCACTTTGGAAAACAGTTTAGACAACAGTTTAGAAGTTAAACATGTACCTACTATGTGACCCAGCCATTCCACTCTTAGATTTACCCAAGAGAAAAGGAAGCATGTGTCCATTTAAACACTGGAATGTTCTATGTGAAGGTTCACAGCTACTTTACTCTTAATACCTCAGAACTAGAAACAGCCCAAATGTTGATCAACAGAAGAATGTATAAACAAATTGTGGTATATCCATGCGATGAAATACTACTCAGCACCAAAAACGAACTGTTGATACACGCAACAACATGGACACCTTTCCAAAACAATTAAGAGAAAAAAAAGCCATAGGAAAAAAATGCATGCATATTATTCCATTTCATTTTTTATAAAATTCTAGAAAATAGAAATTAAAGTGATCAATGATTGTGTAGGATAGGAATTGGGGGGAAGTAAGGGAAGTAAGAACAGATTATTTGGGGAGATGACATCGTCCTAATTGTAGTAATATTTCTTTCTACAGGAATGTATATACATATGCCAAACTCATTGAACGATAGACTTTGAATATGTACTATATTATATTTGAATTATATTTAATAAAAATTAAATTCTACCTGTTTCAAATAAGAATCACCCAAAAAATGCTAAATTTGAAGTAACTTGTTACTGTGTAGGGCCTAAGTATAAAAGAACTAAGATTGGGAAAGCCATTTTAAGAAAGTAGCAACAGAAAATTCACCCATTCATTTATAATCAATGGTTTTGAGTATTGGGCAAACTGCAATTATAAGATTAAAAATTTTAATGTTGCATATAATCTAGGTGTAAGACACTTTCAACATCAGCTTATTAACTGAGGAAATATTGTCACAAGGAACTCTATGTAAAAAATTGTGGAATTTAAAAATACAACCGTCAGTGAGCACTAGTAAATACAGAACTCTAAAAGGACTAATTCATTCAACTGATTTTTTTGTGTGTGTATAGATACTGAGTGTTAAATTACGTGTAAAAATGAAAGCAACATAAATATGATCCAGACATTGCTTTCCAGTTGCCTGTAGTCTGCTAGAGAAAATAGCAAAGCTCTAAACCAGCCAAATCAGAGAGTAAGAGTGGTAAAATGAGAATGTAGAGGAGAAGGGAGGTTACACTTCCTATTCATGAAGGTAAAGATGAAGCTAAAGAAGACATTATAGAGGAGGTAGAATGTGAAAAGAAAGTATCGGTAATATTAGCTCGCTGTTCACTTTTCAAGCCTATTTTTGAATCCAGATTGTTCCTATTTTTATATGAATAACAGCAATTAATTTGAAACAGATGATTTGAGTATTCAGAACCAAGCGATGTTTTATATGTTTACTCTAGTTTGAAAGTGTTCAATGATTAAAACACACACACGTCTTGAAAAATCGTTTTACTCACAGTGCTTTCTATTCTTTTAGACATCATAATTTAGTATGGATTAAGATGCTGCATTGTAGCTATGAGTCGTGTGTAACATATTTGGTAACTGTCTTTAGTGTTTTACAAAATTATTATTGCTGTGAGGTTTATAAAATATTGATTTATATATTTTAATTGTAATTGCTTATCAGTTTTAATTCATCAGTTAGCTTTTCTAAATGGTAAATTTTGTAAAATGTTAAATTAAAACTCTAGGGAGTATACTTTGTAGTATGACTATATGTGAACATTTTTGCTTTGTAGATCTTCTAAGCCAAGGTTATTCTATTTTGCCCACATTCTGGCTTCCCTGACTTCTACTAAGATTCCCTGTATGATATTTGGAAACTTGCTGTGTGAGGCTGTTCACTAACCTTCCACAAGGAACTCTGTGCTTTACGGTCTACCATTTTAGTTAGGTTTGCTTTTGTGTGGTTGTATCCAGAAAGCCTTAGAGAGAAGAAGATGAGGGAGAAAGCCTCAAGGATAGGTTTACTAGTCCTTGATAATGATTTACCTAATTAACAGAACAAATTTTAAGCTTATTAGAAAAATCCACCTTATAAATCTAAGACAAGGTCTGTAATCCATGGAAATTTTATATTAAGAGTTGAAGTTACTTTTTAGTTTTATAACCAATCTATTTTTTTATTTCGTGTGTAAAAAACCCTCACTTTATTTTATGGCTGCCTCTACTACCATTGTTTGTCTTTTGTTGTCTTCTCTGGTGAAGAGAACCAATTTGCTCTTTTGCAAACATAAGCAAAATCACAGTTGGACCAATTTAGAATTGTTGTACCTGCTTTTGAAAATTTTTTCCGAGTAAATTTTTACTTCAGGAAATGGTCTTTCATGTTATTGTGATTGAAGCTCTAGTGTTTGCCTTCTTAGTCACTTTAATTACTAAGTCTGTAGCCATCACTTTCCTCTCATGCAGGTCAGTGATGACCAGGAGGTGTTCTTCCAC